CCGGCCCTGGGTGGCTCTCACTTTTCACCCTCGGCGATCTGCTGGATGCGGTGGGCCTCGGCCTCGGCGGGGCGGCGCACCGTGGCGATGAGCTCCTTGTCTGTGCGCAGGATCTCCTGGGCCTCCACTGCAATCTGCTTCTTGCGCTGCACCACCTCGATCTCAATCTCTTCCTGCCGGATCTTCTGCTGCTCGCGGGCCCCCTGCAGCTCGTAGGCCAGCTGGGCCTCGGCTGTCTGTGGCAGGAGGGTGGGGTGCATGTCAGAGGTTGGCCACTAAGTCCCCAAACCCTGAGCCCCAACCTGGGACGTGCCACGGCTTCTCACCTTGATGTTGACCTCCTCACTGAAGGCGGACTTCTGCAGCTCAAAGGCTCGCTTGGAGTCTGCGATTTTCGTATCTGCCATGAACTTCACGTCCAGCATTTCCTTCTTGCACTCGGCTTCCTGGAAGCAGGAGGGGCAGGTGCTGAGGATCGGCTGAGCGGCCGTGGTTCCATCCCACCCCTGAGCTCCCTGTTCCTGAGTGTGGGAAGGAAATCCCACATACCCGGATGCCCGCGTCGCGCTCCGCCTCGGCCACGCCAATGTCGGCATCTCTCTGCACCACGGCAGTCTGAGTCTTGCCCAGGGAGCTCAGATAGTCCACTTTGTCATACACATCCTGGGGAGGGAAGGCGGTCATCCAGAGAGCAGCCACAGGCATGCGGTGCCCCTCCCACCACACCTCCGCTTCCCGCTCCCCCGCACCTTGATGGTGAAGCTGAGGATCTCGATGCCCATGCGGCCCACGTCGGGGGCTGCCACCTCCCGTACCAGCTTGGCAAACTGGTCTCGGTCCTGGTAAATCTGCTCCACGGTCAGGGTCCCTGGGGGAGGAAGGGTCACAGGCTGGCTCCCCAGGCTCCCAGCCAGTTGGGGAAGGGAAGGGCCAGGCAGGTCAAGGTCTGGGTGCATGCAGGGGTCCTGCAGTCTGAGCTGGGTCTTCCTGTGGTTTCCTCTCTATGGGCTTAACTGAGCCTCCTTCTGCAGATCCCAGAAGAGGTGAGGAAAAGTGCTCTAAGCAGTGCCCGGTGCCCCCTCTCCTTCACTCATGTCACCTGAAGTCGTAAAACGAAATACTGGAGGTAAAATGTTCCAGCTTAAAGATTCAGTGGGACAGGCCCTTGCCCAGCCTGCATCCTTCCCAGCCCTGGGTTTGGGGACCCTAGAAAGCTCCCAAAGGCTGGGCAGGGCCTCACCCAAGATGGAGCGCAGATGCCCCTCCAGGGTCTGCAGGACGACATTCTTGATGTCCTGCACGTTCTTGCCCAGGAACTGCTCGCAGGCCACAGCCAGGAGCTCCTTCTCCGTCATGATCTTCACCTGCCGGGGTCACAGAGGTCTCTGAGTCAGACTGCAGGGAGGCAGGAGGAGGCCCCAGACCCACAGGTGTGGAGGGTGGTGGCTATGCCCTTCTCCTTTGTCAGAGGTGGAGGCCCTGGACGCTGGGGTCTGGAGTCTGAGGCCGCTCATGGGAGACAGCGGAGCTGGTATGGGACATTGAGAAGCCTCTCCTTCTCTCTGGCAGCCCAGGCCCTGGCCCAGCCTCTTTCCCAGACATCTGGGGCTCATTTCCCTACCCTCCGCCCCCGTTCCCTCACTAGGCAGCTCCTCCCGTGCAGGCTCCCCACACGGAGGACCCTCAGGCTGGGCAGAACACGAAGAGGAGAGTAAGCAATAGGACGACAGACAGACAGAGGGCT